CCCCTTTGTGCTTCCACAGTGACCGGGTCACACAGAAAACTCAGCATCACACATGTCACATTTCATGATTCACTGGCCTTCTTTGTTTACATCTCTCTGCCGGTAAGAAGAGTACACGCACCAGAGACCGGGGACTTGATCAGACTGGTCTTTCTCACCCAGGACAGAACCTGGAAAATACAGAAGTAGGCCACCTGCTGTAAGCCAATTTGCAAAAACTCAGTTTACAAAACTGACTTGTTTCTTTTAACCATTTAGTTCCAGTTGATTGGGTTTTCATTTGTCTTTACAACACCATTTGCAGGAAAGTTCTATATTCACAAGAAGAAATCATTCACTGACTAGAGCAGGTGCTCAGTAAATTTATATTAAACAGATACCAGCTTCTCTTACCAAAAATACAAAATTATGATTGGCCAAAAGATTAAGCCAGACGCAAGCACCTATTTCCCCGACACAATGTCTGCGAAGGCTTTCCAAACTCAGGCTAATCCTCTGATTTTCTTTTTCAGTTTCGCAGAGGTGGTTGGTATACCTCTCAGCATAAACTCCAAAGTCTGTGAGACAAATTAACTGGGGGCTAGCAACGCTTGACTTCAGGTGGGAGAAAGTAAGAAGGAAAGCCCAGAATTAGATGGCGCTCAGGGAGGTTGAGTGGACGTGTGTGCTCCTATTTGGCCACAAGGGGGAGCCAGCCACTTTGGTACGCAGTCACAGCCCGCGCCGGAGGTACCCCACTGCTCCCACAGGCCGTGTGACCCAAGTCCCTGAAAGAAACATCTCTATTGGCAGAAGTATCTTTTTTGACAGATCTCGTTAGGGAAAAAAACTTCTCCAGAAATAAATCCAGGCAAACCAGAGTTCCTAGATAATTGTATTTTTCATCTAGAACGTTTCATGGTCTTGGTTATAGCCATCATTGAGTTCTCTAGCTATTTGAGCCGAGGAAACCCAACTGATGGGAAAATAGACACACCTTTAGGGGCTCCAGGCGTCTAGATACACTCTACAGTATCAGGCAAGAATTTATTCTAGTGCCTCACCACCATTAACAACTTCATTTGAAATAACATGATATGAAATCGACTGACTAATGCAATGAATAGCACCTACACAGAGGAATCGGGGTTAAAACAAAAAGTGAAGAGAAACAGGATGCATTTAAAAGAAAAAGAAAAAGGAAAAAAAAAAAAAAAACAGGCTGAAGAGGATCCTGGTCTCCAGACACCGAAATGGAAGCAGCTCGATTGTTCGTTTGAACTCCACCCCAGGCTACAGTGGGTGCCTTAGGTCTCATTATTTCCCCTATATCAAGTCCTTCAAGAGGTAGTCTCCTCCTCCTCAAATCTTTTAGCGCGAAAACGCTCTTACTTATAACCTAATAGGCTGGCGGGAGGGGGAATGAAATATAAAACTACATAATAATTCAACTTAAATTTAAGAGGCTATTTATATTATTCACTATCTTAACAAGATGACCTCAAAGGTAAAGTACAAAAAAAGCCAAAGAGAAGTGAGGATCTTTCCATTAGTTTAGGCAAGGGAATTGGCCCAGGGCATTCTCTCTCTTCTATAAAGAGGCACCAGGTTGTAATTTTTATGTTGCAGATACATGAATGGGATCGGAGAGTTTATAAGACACCATGCAACTCTAGCTTCAAACAAGGACATAACTTAAACACAAACTAACCAAAGAAAAAGAGAAGATAAATTCAGTGAAATTTTTTACCTACCGACCACCTCACCCACATATAATGCCTCTGTGCTGTGGTCTGCAATTTGAGATCCTGAACACTTTGACAGACCCCAAGGAAAACACATCTTAACTCTTAAGTGAAACTCCACCTGCAACTGCCCGGAATTGAAGTCTCAGTGACCATAATGCCCAAGAGTGGAGAATTCGTTTCCATCTAGCAATCCAAGGACTGCAATAATCATCACTACCCCCCCTTCACACCGCCTGCAAGGTACAATCATAAGAGGCTGAGAAAGCATGCTTGGAACCCAAACAGGATCATAGAAAAGATTTACCATCCCCCACAGAGGCAAGTCGACTAATATTGCACTGATCCCAGCTTAACTGTTTTGCTTCATTTTGTTTCATTGTTCTGCACCGGTCTTTCTTACTGTGAATGTTTATAGAGAAATGTGGTCACTTTAACCTTCTTAATTAGTTCCCCATTGCTTGTGGTGACAGTGGCCATACTGCAGCATCAAATAACTTAAGGGCCAAAGAAAACATACCCCTGTTTTTATAAAGTTTGGACTGAGACCGTGCCTTAAAAAGGGTATAGCTATAAAAAAAAATTAGGTAAATAAGAAAAAAGCAATCTAAAAGCTCTCATCAATATGGCAAGGAAAGAGAGGAAGAAAGAAAGAAAGAAAGAAAGAAAGAAAGAAAGAAAGAAAGAAAAGAAGGAAATAACAGCCTAGAATAGTGTGTGGCACATGTTGGTGCTTAAGAAATATTTATTAAATAAGTGAATGAATCACTTGGGACTCATATACAGAGCAAACAATAAGTAAACAAACAAATAAATAAACAAATATTGAGGATCATTCCGTGGTATTTTAGATCTCCAAGATGTCGTATGTGCCACTCCTTAAGAATAATAAATATTAAAAAAAGAAACAATAAGTATTGGCATTATGAGTTACTCGTGGTTATTCAGTGCTGGTTCACCGACGATAAACTCTCCATTTGGACCACAAGCCACCAATTAGAAAGTCCCTTTTACTCACCCTTGCTTGTGGAGACAGCTCCCTACATGCTGTTTTCTAGGTAGGTTTCTAGGATCAAACTCACTGTGTTTGCTGTGCATACTTACACAGCGGCTCAATTGCTGCCTAAGGCTATGAAATTCTTCCACAAAGTGTCTTTCCTTGCAGACTTGTAATTGGAGTTGACCAAAAACATCGTCCATGAAGAAGGACAGAAGCTGTTCTTGGAATCTGCAGTTTTTCTATAAATAAGATATGAGAAATCGCATAAAGTAAACCGTGGGATATAGTTTTTGTAAAATGTCATTGCAATCCCCACCTGATTATGACGTAATGACCACCTGGAAAAATTAAAATGCAAGAGGGAAAGCATCAAACAAGTAGAAAGATGAAAAACATTTAAAAAACCCTCTGGCTCACCATAAATAGCTTTTTTGTTTTCTTTTTTAATAATCGTATATTTTTAATGCGGTCTTCCTACAATAAAACAAAAGGAGATAAGTGTTATCCAGAATTACAAATGTCCGTTAGGTCATCATTTTAAGCAGAGCCTGATACTTACTGGAATTGTTGCTTTGAGCCATGCCGCCTTGACGTAGAGTCTGTCAACAGCTTGGGACAGTGTGCCCCTTGGGTAACAACCTTTCGCAGAGGAAGATTGCTTGTGCTTGGCGATGACAAGAGACAGAGTGGCAAACAGCAACCCAGACCTCAAAATGCAATTCGCCTGCATCTCCCTCCACCCCACTCTGGGCACCTGTCGCTCGCCAGACAGTTTCTTGCGCTGGTTCGATGATCGGATAACCTACTTACTTAAGCCCTCAAGGCCACCTCTTCAATGAGATCCTGTGGTAGATAACTTACAGTTTACAGAGAGGAAGATCACTCCGGCTGTTCTATTTTTTTTAGAGCTTGCTTCATAACCGAAAAAAGCTTTGACCGCACTGTCTGTGGCACTAAGAAAAAGCACAAGTTTACTGGGAAGGTTAGGGCCCCCTTTTCAAAAAAAAAAAAAAAAAAAAAAAAAAAAAAAAAAAAGGTCAAGTCAGAACCTCAGTTGCCTATCACAACAGATGCATTGTTTTTTGCTTTTTTTAAAATTTTTTTTTCAACGTTTATTTATTTGGGACAGAGAGAGACAGAGCATGAACGGGGGAGGGGCAGAGAGAGAGGGAGACACAGAATCCGAAACAGGCTCCAGGCTCTGAGCCATCAGCCCAGAGCCCGACGCGGGGCTCGAACTCACGGAACGCGAGATCGTGACCTGGCTGAAGTTGGACGCTTAACCGACTGCGCCACCCAGGCGCCCCACAGATGCATTGTTTTAAACAGGTTCATGACATGCCAGTAAGGGAGACTCATCTCCGGGAGGCCGTGTGATTTTTTTTTTTTTTAATGTCCATATGAAAAATAAAATCTCCTTTTTAGCCAATATCCCCACCCCCCGCCAAAATTAACCACAGGTAGAGTGGAGAGCGCTGGGAAACTTGCTCATGATCTCCTATGGGTTTTACACATATCCCTTGCAGAGTCCTTCGCCAGGCTCCCTCTCTTCTCTCAGGAGCCACCTTTCTTTAGCCAGCCAGCCTTAAGACCCAAGAGAGTTTTCCAATTTTTCTCAAGAATTTTTCCAGCTCAGAAACTGTAACTCCCCTAACATACTCAAGATTGTTTGGCATAGGGACCTGGGGTTAAGGCCCACGGTTTAGTAAATTCTCTATCATCTCTGTCCAAGTTGACTGCCCAGCTTCTAGCGCTGGACTTCGAGTAGCATGCACATTTCTTAAAGAAAGAGACCAACCTTTCTATCTCTGAATCCTTAGCCCCTACCCAGATGACGCCTCATCTAAGGAAGCACAGCCGATGTTCATTGAATAAATGCTTTCCTTTCTACGTCACAAAATGCTACTGTAACTGTGTTGTTTTTTTATTCCATCAACAAATTTCTGTCGAGGATCTGCCTATACAGAGACCTGTGCTAGGTACCAGGGGGACTATAAAGGCAGATGGTCCATGGAATCCCATCCTCAATTCTGCCCCAGTTCTTCTGATAGTGGTGACAGGTATGGTCCATGTGAGGGAGTAGCCCCAAGCTAAGAAGTGGATGTGGCCTAGAATCATATAAGGAGAAGCAAAGACAAGGCACCAAAGCCTAGCATGCGCAGTTAACGTAGTACTTGAGCAAAACAAAACTGGAAGCTGGTTGTGAGCAAGAGATTCCTCAAAACTAGTCAGTTACAGACTTCAGAATTCAAGACAAATGTCTAAATCAAAGACCACCAGGCTGGCAAAGGAGCGAAGAGAAAGTAGGAGTGAGAGGTCCAAACACTGGGGAATATTTCCTGCTGCTTCAAAAAGTAGGTAGATTTTGCAACACCGGAAGTTTATGCCCACAGGACCAGCTCTGCTGTGAAAGACACACTCTCTGAGGTGAGATGGGAATGTTCACAAAGAGCTACAGCAGAAGACAGCTGATTGGGAGCACAAAGGGAGTTCACAGAAATTTTACAAAAATTCAGGAAAAGGAAGAATTCTTTTTTAGCTAGGAGTAGCTTAAAGGTGTTTGAACTGGGACATGGAATATCCCAAGGTGGTGTTTTTGTTTTGTTTTGTTTTGTTTTCGAGAAGAGTGACGCCTACTATTCAAAATTCCTTTATAGAAAAGAGTATGAACTACCAGGGATCAAAAGCCCAAATGCTTTCAGAGGGTGTAGGATTAACATAAACACCCTGGGTAAACGCATATGGGACAGTCGGAACTAAATTGCTTACATTGCCACCAAACCTAAAATCTGCCTAATTATACAGCCTGTAAACACACCGTGTGGGTGCACTAAAAGGACCACACAAAATCCTTCCAGGAGCTGTACACTGCCTTGAGCAGCTAATTTGGGGGTCCCTGGTGTGCGGCAACAAAACGTTAAGTGCAACGCGAATCGCTAATATTGGTAAATGAATATGTGTTCTGACGAATTTAACTCCTGCTGGTTGCATTTACATAAATGTCTCATGTCCCTGAAACTATCAGGACCCAAGGAAGATCATAACATCCCAGGGATGCCTCCGCTTTGATTCACAACCAACTCCAGAAAACTGGCCATTTCCTTATGTCTGAAAACCGTATCTCCCTGTGGACCATAGTCATCCTACATCTTAGTTGGCACATCAGCCTCATTAGGGTCCTTCAAACAGTCCAATCTGGGGGCGCCTGGGTGGCGCAGTCGGTTAAGCGTCCGACTTCAGCCAGGTCACGATCTCGCGGTCTGTGAGTTCGAGCCCTGCATCAGGCTCTGGGCTGTTCTGGGCTGATGGCTCAGAACCTGGAGCCTGTTTCCGATTCTGTGTCTCCCTCGCTCTCTGCCCCTCCCCTGTTCATGCTCTGTCTCTCTCTGTCCCAAAAATAAATAAACATTGAAAAAAAAAAAAAAAAAAGTCCAATCTGGCCCCCAAAGGATGACAAGTGATAAAGGAGACTCAAAACCCAGGTCCTAAAGACAATTCCGACAGGGGGTTCCAAAAGTGCCCCCAAGTAACAAAAGAGCCATTAGAATAAGTATGTGATGTCCTTGGGGCACCAGCTGAAACACAAGTCTCTCTCATTTTGGATGTATTTTTATTATGTCACTTTTATAAGTTCCTTATACAGAACTACATAAAAATGGCTATTGGTTACAAGGAGATTTGGTTTTGAAACTCAGATGCAACTACCCTACTAGTTGTATAGCCATGCGGAAGTTGCTAATCCTCTCTGAGCTTTAGTTTTTGTCGTCATTAAAATGGGACAATAATTGTACCTACTTCAGACGGCTGTCATGAGCAAAAAATATGATAATATCAATAGAATGCTGAGCACAAGGGCAGCTACAGATGCACCCTGCAAGTGGTAACTATTACATTATTATTTTTCAAATAATAAATGTATCTTAATCTGTCCAGGTACTATACCAAAATACCACAGACTAGATAGCTTATAAGCAACAGAAATTAATTTCTCACCGACGTGAAGGCCGGGAAGTCCCAGATCAACATGTCCGCGTGGTCACAGTCTGGTGAAGCCTCTCTTCTGGGTTGCAAACAGCCAGCCTCTCACTGTGTCCTCACATGGTGGAAGGGGCAAGGGATCCCTCTGGAGCCTCTTTTATAAAGGCGCAAATCCCATTCATGAGGACTCTGCCCTCATGACCTAACCACCTCTCAAAGGTCCCACCTAATACCACCAACTTGGGGTCTAGAGTTCAACATATGAATCTAAGACACAAGCATTCAGACCACAGCAAAATGCATGTGCAATACTCTGAATAATGTTTAAGTCTCTCACAAACTTTCAAAAGTGTTGAGAAATGGTTGAAGAAAGTGAGGAAAGCAAAGGATGAACAATGATCTGACCATATTTCAAAGAGTATGCAGGCATGAGGAATTCAATTCACCCCCACACACATCCAGAAAGCAGACCGGGGCCATTAAGTGGATATTTTAAGGCTGCTACTCCTACATAATGTACAGGAGAACATTTAAACAACTGATCTGCCCCAAAGCACAGCTGGCTACCCCAATTCCCAAATGCCGGTATGGCAGCCATTTTCCTTAAAATTCAGCTCCACCCTCACACACCCAAAAGAATGCTAGCAGCGCCCTCTGATGGTCAAGCATATCTAATGAGCAAAATGGGTTTCATGCAGAGAATCACAGCTCACTTCGAGACCTCTCCTCTGTAGGAGGAAAAAAACAACACCCTTAATTGCTAAAGGTTTCCTTAGTTAAAATTAAAATTTTTTAATTTAATTTAATTTAATTTAATTTAATAAAAATTAAATCGGGTTCCTTAATTGCTAAACGATTTAGTTGACTCTAAGACACATTTGTGGTTTGGCTTTTTTCTTTCCCCCACATCTTAATATCTCTGAAATCACAACCCGTTTTATAATCCATCGTCTTATAATTACATCACCAAGTCAGCCCATACACAGTTGTCCTTCCCTGTGCAGTCGCCAGTCATGTACCCACTTCAGACTGTGTGCATGGCTGTTAGTACGTGTGTTGAGTTGAATTGCTGTTCAAATATCTTTAGAAAGATTGCACTATGATTCAGCAATGAAATGAAAGTTAATGTGTTCACAGAAAGGCACAGAACAGCAGTGGGATGCAAATCTGCTATTAGAGAAGCAAGTATTTGTCTTTGGAAGAATGACCAAAATTACATATTTTCTTGCAAGGCAACAACCAAGTGCTAAATGTTAAGCAAGCACTGCATCATAGCTTAATCAGAAGCACTTATTTCCTTTCTTAGTGATAAAATAATGGTGCAGCTTTGATCATATGGTATCTTAAATTTGTTGAAATATGATGTTTAACGACCTCAGTGATTGGCATAATTCCTAAGGATCAGAAATCCTAAACTCTACATAGCTATAAATAAGAAGTAGGTGGATCTACTTTAAACTAGTCATTCTATTTGTAAAAAACCCTGAAACCCAATATTTTTTTTCCAGGATAGAGCCAGAAGATAGAGATAAGAAATAGTCATAGATTGATAAATATACTTAATACAATGATATCTGGGTTTTGTCCTTTCAGAAAAGGTAGGTCCCTCTCTATCAGACAATTCCACCCAGGAAACATGTTTATCTTATGTTTATGTCATCAGAGGGATGGATGAGAACAGGCTAGAGAAGGAATGAAGAGGGCTCTAAACGGTCTGAAGGGGGAAGAAAGTGGATCTGGAACCTGGATTCA